TTAACTGGTGTATTTAGACCATTTACATTTAATGCAATTATTGATGTATCATTGCTTAAGTCTGTCATTTTATTTTTGTTTGTTCTGTTTTTTGTTTCTCCCTTTTCTTTTTCCTGCCTTCTTGTGGGCTACTTGAACACTTTTTAGAATTCCATTTTGATTAATCTATAGTGTTTTTTTTTTTTTTTTGAGGAAGATCAGCCCTGAGCTAACTACTGCCAATCTTCCTCTTTGTGCTGAGGAAGACTGGCCCTGAGCTAACGTCCATGCTCATCTTCCTCTATTTTTATATGTGGGATGCCTACCACAGCATGGCGTTTGCCAAGCAGTGCCATGTCCGCACCTGGGATCTGAACCAGCGAACCTTGGGCTGCCTGAGAAGCAGAACGTATGAACTTAACCACTGTGTCACTGGGCTGGTCCCTAATCTATAGTGTTTTTGAGTGTATCTCTTTGTGTAGCTTTTCTTAGTGGTTTCTTTCACTATTGCATTATATATACCTAATTTTTCACAGTCTACTGGTATTACCATTTTTTCAGTTAAAGTGAACTGTAAAAACCTTATCTTCCTCTATGCCTCTTTATCCTGCCCAATTAACAATATAGTTGTCTTGTATATTTCTTTTACATAAATTCATAACCACATCATACAGTGTTATAATTTTTGCTTCAACTGTCAAACGTAATTTAGAAAACTCATGAACAGAGAAAAATAGGTATTTTACCCATTTTTTCATTTTTCTTTCTTTCTTCCTGGCGTTCCAAAGTGGCTTCTTTTTATCGTTTTCCTTCTGGTTAGAAAACTTCTGCTAGCCATTCTTTTAGGATAGATCTCTTGACAACAAATTCTCTTAGCTTTCTTTCATCTGAGAGTGCCTTGATTACCCCTCCTTTCCTGAAGGATTTTGTTGTTGTTGTTCTTGCTAGATTTAGAATTGTAGCTTGACATTTCTTTCCTTTCTTGAAAATGTTGTGCCATTTATTTCTGGCCTTGTTGGTTTCTGATGAGAAATCCACTGTCATCCAAATAGTCTTTTCCCTGTAGGTAAGGTCATTTTTCTCTTGCTGCTTTTGAGATTTTTCTTTCTCTTTGGTTTTCAGAAGTTTGACCATGATGTGTCTTGGTATGGATTTTTTTGGGTTTATCCTGTTTGGAGTTGGTTCATCTTCTGAAATTTATGTATTTTGTATTTATGTCTATGTATTTTGCCAAATTTGGAAAATTTTCAGGCCATTATTTCTTCAAGTACTTTTTCCAGTCCTGCCCTCTTTCTCCTCTGCTTCCAGGACTCCAATTACATGAATGATGAATATTAGATCTTTTGTCATAGTCCCACAGTTCCCTGAGGCTTTGTTCATTGTCTTTTTTTTTTTTTTAAGTCTATTTTCTCTACCTTGTTCAGATTAGGTAATTCGTATTTCTCTCTGTCTCTCTCTCTCTTTTTTTTGTGAGGAAGATTGGCCCTGAGCTAACATCTGTTGCTTATCTTCCTCTTTTTGCTTGAGGAAGATTGTCACTGAGCTAACATCTGTGCCCATCTTCCTCTACTTTATATGTGGGACGTCCTCCACAGCATGGCTTGACCAGTGGTGTGTAGGTCTGCACCCAGGATCCACACCCACAAACTCCAGGCAGCTGAAGTGGAGCATGTGAACTTAACCACTGTGCCAGCTGGCTGGCCCCCCTATTTGTATCTGCTTGAATCCACTCATTCTTTCCTCTGTTCTCTCCATTCTGTTCTTGAGCTCATTCACTGAGATTTTAAATTTTGGTTATTGTATTTTTCTGTTCTAAAATTTCCTTTTGGCTCTTCTTTATATCTTCAATTTTTTTTCTGAGACTTCCGATTTCTTTGCTGAAGCTTTTTATTTTCCTTTTGCTTCAACTGCGTTTGTATTTGTTGAAGTATTTTATGGATGCTTTAAAATCTTTGTTAGATAACTCTAACATCTCTGTCATGTTGGCATTGGTATCTCTTGAGGGCCTTTTTCATTCACTTTGAGAGCTCCTGGGTTCTCAGTATAATGAGTGATTTTTCTCTTTTTTTTGAGGAAGATTAGCCCTGAGCTAACATCTACTGCCAATCCTCCTCTTTTTTTGCTGAGGAAGACTGGCCCTGAGCTAACATCTGTGCCTATCTTCCTCTGTTTTATGTGGGACACCTGCCACAGCATGACTTGACAAGCAGTGCCATGTCCGCACCCAGGATCTGAACCGGCAAACCCCAGGCTGCTGAAGCAGAACATGCGAACTTAACTACTGCACCACCAGGCCGGCCCACTAATGAGTGATTTTTGATTGAAACCTGGACGTTACGGGTATAATGTTATGACGCTCTGGATCTTGTTTAAACTTTTTGTTTTCACCGGCTTTTTCTAGTGCTGTTTCATCAGAGGATGGGAGGGTACCACATGTTACTGCTAGTTGGGAATACAAGTCCAGGTTCCCCATCCAGCCTCCCTTGACACATGAGGGGAGGGCTCCTCATTCCAGCTGGGTGGAGGTGGTTGATTAGGCCCCCACTGACTAATGGTTGAGGGTAAAATATACTGTAACTCAACGGCTATGGCTCTGGCTGTCAGTGTATCTAGATTCCATACTCACTGCATGGCAGTGGAGCAGATGCTTCATATACATGTTCCCCATCCTCTTGGGGTGATTGATGCCCCAAAGCCAATCTCCACCAAAGAGGACACAATTGGAGAAATAGTTGGCAAATAAATGCCCCAGTTTCCTATCCTTTGCTGGGGAGGAATTCTGAGGTGCATCCCTCTAAAAAGGGTCCCCGGTAGATAGAGCCCCAATTACTCACTATGGTGACCAGCTCAATAATCTATCTCCAATTGGCTTTTCTCCCTTGCCTGTATGATTCTTCTTGGTTCTTCACTTCTGCCTTCTGAGATTACCTCCCATGTAAACAATGTGCACCCTAGTCCTTGTCTCAGGAACTGCTTTCAGGGGAACCCAAGCAAATTCCACTGGTACTAAAAGTGGTCCTAGAAAGCATACTCTTAGGATGAGATTCTGGAACTGGATCATTTATCAGTTCACCCAACCCAAAGGACCACATGGATGACGGTAAGTGGGATGGTAAAAACCTCTCCTATGCTGTAGCTCACAAATATTAAGACTCTTGCCAGTGGTGTGTTGGGACAACACACAGTGGGAGAGAAAGCATTGGCTCATGCAGTAACACTAGCACTTGAATGTTGTGGGGGACATGGTAACAATAAAGATTATGGAATTGGGTGACTTTTGTATATCATTCTAGAAATCTTAAAGAAAAAAAACAAGAGGTTCAGTTAACTAGCAACTCAGAGCGTGCTGTGGAAGTCAGAGGGCGTCCCTGGCAGCATGTAAAAAGGCTCTTCTTCTCCGCAGTCGTGTGGCAGACTGCTGAAACTTGGGCTCGGGATCTCCTCATAAGGGTGCAAAACTGCCAAGGATGTGGAAGCACAGTTTCAACAGGTTTCTTATGCTAAAGTGAGAACCCTGATAGGGAAAGAATGGGCCTTGAGGTCTAGGATGGGACGCATAGATGAATGTGCACGAGAAACACAAACCCTCAGATTCACCTGAACCCCCTGGGCAGGCAGGAGCATCCTCTTGGCTCTTACTAGAGAAGAGATCCCCTCATTGTCTAATTTAAACATAAAAGGAATTATTGAAAGGATACAGGAAAAGCTGAATAATCCGGGGTGGTACAAGGCAGGTTAACAGCTCAGGGGGCCCGGTGATTAGCTGGAACTAAAGGGCAGTTTATTCATTTACTGCCAGTGGAATGGCCTCTGGTCAATTCATTCAAATTTAAATTCAACCAGAGAAAGTCTGACTGGCAAGATGATGTTCGATGCCAGATCTTGCTCAAGGGGAAGAGGGTGGGTGGGAAAGCGGCACAGGGCTACCAAGACATCATGGAATGGAGGGGTTAGTTCCTCAAAGGGAAAGTGAAATGCTGGTACCAGGAAAAGGGGAAAGGAGCTGAGCAGACAGAAACCCCAGCTGCCCAGTCGGGAGGCAGGAGCCGGCTCACTGTTCCTCTTCTCACCCTGACCCCCACCCCCAATCTCTACTTCTTCCCGCCCAGTTCCTCAGGAGGAGTAGGGAGAGGCCACAGATTGGTTTTTATAATTTTAGAGGATACCTCGAGTCAGCGATGAGCAATAATTAGACTGTGATTGTTCTATTTAAGTGCTTCACTTAATCAATTACAATCGCCCTTGCTGCTCCGGGTATTGATTAGAGTCCTGCATTCTGGAAATCTTGAAGCACCCCCCTGGGATGCTACCCCGATGCTGCGATCCTCGTTGGCGTGTGAACGCCTGGGCTGAAGCCGACCGTTCCATGTGGTTGCTTGAGACACTTTTTCATCTTAATTGTTTCTGAAGACAAGACAGAATAGCAGCTCCTTCTACTGCTAATCTGAATCTAAGTGGGAAGGAGCAGCCCGGTTAATGGGGCATCCGGCTGTTCCCAGGGGGCAAGGATGGGGCTGACTGCTCCAGATGCCCTCTCAGAGAAGACACGGGACACAGCCTAGAGATTGGCTGTGAACACTTGTGAGGATAATAATTGAGGAGAGGTGGCCCTGGACAGACACCAAGCCACCCCATCCACCCGTAATCATCATGGCAGGAAACAGGGGCTCAGGACTGGTCAGGGGCTCCACTAAGCAGACAGGCCTTGAGATGTATCAGGCCTAGGCAGCGTGGAAAAGGGAGGAGGAGCTAGGTCAAGGGGAGGAGGCAAGATACAGTGGTTTTCAACCTGGCTGCACATTAAAAAAGACCCATGCCGGGGCTGGCCTGGTGTTGTGGTAGTTGAATTCACATGCTCCTCTTTGGCAGCCTGGGGTTCACAGGTTTGGATCCTGGGTACGGAGCTACACACTACTCATAAAGCCATGTTGTGGCAGGATCCTGCATAAAAATAGAGGAAGACTGGCACAGATGTTAGCTCAGGGCTAATCTTCCTCAGCAAAAAAAAAAAAAAAAAAAAAAAGAAGAAGAAAGAAAAGAAAAGACCCATACCTCGGTCTACCCCAGATCTGTTGTATCAGAATCTCTGCAGTGGTGATGGTGGTGGGATTTCTAGGCATCTGTACTTTTTAGGTTCCCAGGTGACATCTTATTGCACAGTGAAGACTGAGAATCACTGAATTAGAACAGAGTCCTCGGCCTGAGATCCATGGTGGGCTTTGAGGGAGCATCTGTGATGTCCTCTGAAACTGTATGGAGAATCGTCTATACATATGCTTTCCTTGGGACGGGAATCCATTGCTTTTGTCAGATTCTCCAAGTGCCTGTGACCCTCCAAAGAACACAGAGCATGAGATACAGGGGACAGAGGGCCGGAGCTGGGAAGGAGGAGGGGCATTCGGGCTGTGGTCATTCTGACACCAGCGGTTCCTTAAAGCACTCTTGTCACAACCCCACGAAGCTGCCCTCCAGCCCTCAGCTGCGCAGCCAGGCGACCTGGCCACCAGCCCTGCCAGGTACTCTCCCTGTCAGCTGCATGAAACCGGCTGCAAGAAGAGAACCACAGGGTTTGGAGGTGGATGTGGAGTAAGTAGGGATTTACCTCAGGCTCATCTCAAAATCAGGGCAGCAGGAGCCAGTTCCAAACCCAATAAGGCAGGGGTTCTAAAGTGTGGTCCCCAGACCAGCAGCTTCAGAATCACCTGGGAACTTACTAGAAATGCCAGTGATCAGGCCCCACCCCTGACCTTCTCAATCAGGAACTCTGTCACAGCCTAACAACTGCCTCGCAACAAATCCCCGGGCCGACTCTGGCGCACACTGAAGTTGAGAACTGCTGCTGTGGGGGAGGGCGCGCCTCCTCATTTGCTGAAGGATGTGCTCGGGGTCAGCTGAGCCCCTGGGTGAGGCTGATCCAGTAGGTTGAAACCCGTCAGTACCCACAGCTGAGAAAGTCTCTGCAAGGGCTGAGAGCTGAGATGCTCCCGAAGCTGTTGCGGGTGAGAGGAAGGACTGGACTGCCACGTTCATTTGCTGAATTGGAAAACAGACTCTGGAGGGGCCAGGTTTTATACCCTGTTTCAGACACACAGGGACCTCTAGTAGATGGTTCTAGTAGTCAGCTAAGACGTATGGTCTTGACTTTGGGAGAAGATGCAGGGCTGGAGATGTGCTCATCAGCAAGTCGGTTTAAATCGCACAGGAAAAGAGTGAAGGGGTGAAGGGAGCCGAGTACAGAATCCAAGTCCTTCAGAATCCTCTCACTGGTCACAGGGCGTCTGCGCTGGGGCAGCCCTGAGTTACCCTCTCAGCGAGGAGCTGGCAGTCCAAGTGGGAAGAGGAGAGCTGCACACAGGGAGCTGGTACTCCTTGCAGTGAAGAACTTCAACAGAGGAGGGGGCCTATGAGTGTTTGGGGAGCATGGAGGACAGAGGGAAGCCTTGCTTGGGGAGCGATCCCAGAGGGCTCTCGTTGGGGGGCGGCCACGTGTGGGGCTCTCAGGGCAGGCAGTTATTCACAGGGCTACAAACTGGTGGGGACGGCATCCCAACAGCCTCCCACATGGGTCTTAGGGAGCTGAAACTCCTGGCCAGCTGGAGCTCGAGATCGTTGGAGGGGACCACGGGGAGGGAAGGCTGGGGAGGAGGTGAGTGCTGGATTGGAGGGAGCACCCAGCCCAGGGCAGGAGTTAGCACCCTGGTTTAGAGGGGAGGATACAATCAAACGGTGGCTTGGGAAGAGCAATGTGGTGGCACAAGCTGGAGACTCCTGAGTGGGGAGAACAGCTGGGCGTCCCAGGTGTAAAGTGGCATGGATCCTCATTAAGGTGTAGACAAGTTAGGGAAAGAAGCTAGTGTTCCAGCTATGGGCCTGGTAAGCAATTAAAGGCTTTTCATTGAAGTGTGGAGGGTCAACACAGTGTTGCCCACCCTACCAGGAGTAATCGCAGGGCCATTTTCTTCCTTCTCCGTCCCCTAGCCCAGGGCCTAGGCTGGGGAAGTGCCCATAGATAGGCTGTGAATGAAGCCAAGGACTTGTGCAAAGAAACATGGTCAGTAACCAGAAAAAAAAAAGGGGGAGGAGGAGTTAAACATTCGTCAGCATGGGTGTGATTAACTACCCATAGGGTAGCCCTGCTATGAAGTACAGAGCAGGAGAGAGCAAGAATGAGGCAGATCGATGCGCACTGACGTGGAGTGGTTTCCTGGCATTTTGTAAAGTGAAGAAAGCAAGCTGCATACCAACGCACACGGAATGATGCCATTCGTATAAACAACAAGGACTTCAGATTATATATGAGCATGCAAATGCCTTTTTAAAAAGGTCTCGAAAGATGCACAACCAGTGATTGACAGGGGTCCCTGCAGGGGAGGAGGAGAGTTACAGAATGGATATGAGGCGGCCCTCACACTCGGTTTTGTTGTGGAGCTGGGGAACAGCAGTGGCCTGTGTTGCATGGCTAGGAGCAGGGTGAGATGAGAATAAGCCCTGTTGCAGGGATTCTCTAGCTCCAGTGTGCACCAGAGTTACCAAGCAGCTGGTTGAAATGCAGGTTCCTAGGCCCCATCCCAGCCATAACGAAGCAGGATGTCAGGGAGAGGCCCGTCTCACATTTGCATTTTAACCAGCTGCCCCCGATTCTGATGCCAGTGGTCCCTCGAAGCACTCCTGTGGCCACTCCATAAAACTGCCCCCACCTTGGCTCAGCAGCCAGGGCTTGGCCACCAGGCTTGCTGGGTAACTGGGCAGGGCGACTTCCCCTTCAGAGGTGGGGGAGGCTGGGGAGTGCCGCATGGGGCAGCCCTTCCCTCTGAGCGTGCTCTTCAGTGGGATATACGCCTTCCTCAACAACCATGGCTCACCACTCTACTGGGAGCTCCGTGCATTGAGCTGGATGCAGCTGCCTTCTTGGGACCTTCATATATCGAGGGACCAAGGTACCCGCTCAACTTCCCTGGGCAGCTTTTAAAAGAGACCTGAGCCACCCAAATCATCATTCCCAAATTCATTTGGAATTCAAAGCAAGTAGGAAAAACTGGCATTAATTAAATATTTAATTGATGTCCATTAAGTCTAGACTATTGGTTTTAGTTCAAATTTATGACACAGTTGTATTTTTTATAGCTGCGCATATATTGCATATAGGCCATTGGTTTCCTTCATGCAATAAAGTGTTCAGTATATTTATGCCCATTTTATAGGACTTGGAGCTTAACTGGAGTACCGTAAGTGATTATGGAGACCTACAGTATTTGCTTTTACGATGTTGGTGGTGGTATCACTGATAAATTTGCTGTTACGTCACCACTGATTGCAACCCTGGGCCTCTGGGAAGATGTGGGCTGCTTTACAACAATCCATTTTATTGTGCACTTTTCAGGTACCTGTTGAGGCAAAATGGAGTCTTTTTGTACCTTTACGAGGTGGGGGTTGAACGTCCTCTCACCTCGTGTGGCCAAGGCAAGGTCCAGAAGCCAACTTCTATGGCTTAAAACGTGAGTCTGGAGGTTCAGTGCAGACTGGAGGGGCTGTGAGTGATAGAGGGATGCGGGTGGGATGGGAACACGCAGGTGTCCTCTTGCTCCTCTGGCCAGGGCCTCTGCCCTGTCGGGGGACCCTTTCCACCAGCGAGGAGGGGCTTGAGAATTTCTGGTCTTCTACAAACAACAAAACCCATGCTGGGTTCAGTTGGGGTTCCAGGCTGAAAATTGGGCCAGAACTGGCCCTTCTTCCGGAGTAGCCCTTGTTTTCAGTAAGTCAATTTTGCATAACTTTAAATTTCTAAAGTGGATAAAGTAGGCCCCACTCTGTTTTAATTCATACAAGAGCGGAGGGAGAGTTTTAGAGAGCTGAGGTCCAACATCCTTCTTTGAAGTTTAAAACACAACAATAACAACAATCAAGCAACAAACAAGATTGAGCTTTCCTGAAAGCACGCTGTGTGTATGTGTGTGTGTGTGCGCGCCTGGACATGTGTGTGCCAGGCCCACACAAGGGCTGCACACGTGCTGCCAGTTGACCCTCAGAACAGCCCCACGATGGAGCACTATCATCATCTCTACTTATAGATGAGGAAAGTGAAGCTGGTGAGTTGAGTGACTTGTCCATGGTCACCCAGCCAGAAAGTGGCTCGGCTTTGAGCCAGGTCTCCCTGCTTCAAACCCCAAGCAGCTCTCAGCTCCCCGCCCTGGGGAGCTCACTGTGGTCGAGTGGGGAGTGGAGGCCCAGATTCTGCAGATCCACACCCAGGGAGGGGAGGCGGGACTGAAGGCACGGGGTGGCAGGGAGGGGGGGTCCAGAGAGCAAGTTCAGACACAACCACAAATTTATGGCCACTTTTGCCAGAATGGATCTCTGTCCTCTGGATCAGCTCTGTTCCCTGGCCCCTAAGTCTGAGAACAGTTCCTGCACCACCAGAAACTTCTTGGTTGTGAAACATAGATTTTGCATAAGTACAAAGGAACTTTTTTTATTTCAGGAGGGGCTCTTTCCCCCAGCATGGCTCGGAGGTAGGGGACACGTGGGGTCTAAGCCTTTATCTGGACCTTCTTCTAATGTTCACCACAGAGCCTGACCATGTCACAATCAAAACACCTTCATCAAACCTGCAAGAATCAGCCCTAGTCACCTGAGGTTCAGAGAGCCCAAGCAGCCTGCCCAGAGGCACACAGCAGAGTCCAGCCCAGTCTCTCCCCGTGATGTTCATGTCTTGCTGAGTCCACCTAAAGCCTCAACTTGAGGTGTTCTCAGCCTTGAACACACCTGGTGTTTTGGAGAAAGCCCCACATGGCTCACATTCGCTCTGGCCCACCATGTAATTCACTCCTGGGCTTCATTTTTATTTCAGTTCACTGGGTTCCCCTCTCCTGACCTCCATCTTAGCAGGGGAGGTCAGGGGTGTCCAGTGGTTACAGCGACGGGAGAGTATGACTACGTAGGGGCAGTGAGAGTTTTGGGGGCGATGGAACTGTGCTGTATCCTGATTGTGGTAGGGGTTGTGTGAATCTATATATGTGTTAAAACTCATGGGACTGTGCACCAAAAGTAAAATAAAAATAAAAAAGCAAAGGATCGACCTCTGCTGGAACACATCTAGCTCTGACAGTACCAGGAAGAGGGACTTAGCATGGAGGAGGGTGGTTCTGGGGCCCATTTCGTGGACCCTCCCTTCTTGCTCTCCAAACCGGCGGGCAGGGTCCTTCTTCGGGTTCCAACCCAGCACATCAGCCCATTGGGTGGCACTGCCTTCAACTCTCGGAGGAGTGTCCACACTGCTGACAGTCCCCTTTCTTCCCCCATGGAGCTGGGCCAGTGGGTATGGCAGGCCCCAAGGCTTTCTCTGGACTCCTTTGGGACTGGCCAAGAGGCTCTAAGGCCCTTTTTCTTCTGGATGCTGGGGAGCAGCTGGTGGCTATGGGGGACAGACGTCTGACCTATACATCGTTGTTCCTTTGAGCTATGCTCCACTCCCTGGGAGCCCAGAGAAAGGAAGCCTGCCTTCCACTCCCATCTCCCAAATCATACACATACCCAGAGACCAACTCCCAGTCACTCCACTTGCTACGGGGAAAAGTCTCCATAATCAAATTAGGCTGAATTGGCCAAATGAGCCAGTAGCCTGGGGCATGCAGGCACGGATGCCCCGAGGATGTGAGGACCAGCTCTCTGGGTGGTGACACCGATGTTGGCAGTGCCCTCCGGCCCTGTCTATGCTGGAACACATTTCTGAGCCCGGAGCTCTGCGGATGACCGGAGAATCACAGGGTCATATCAGGAGGCAGGAGGAGAAAAGGCCAGGGTGGCAGCTTTAACCAGTTGTGAGTCCAAGAGAGGGGTCCTCTGAGTGGCAGCTGGCCAGGCCGTGGCACAGAGCCCGGTGAGCCCTGGCGGGACGGGGCTGCCGGCTCAGCTGCCTGTACTTTTCCTCGCTTACTCATCAGACTCAAAAACAACTCCACCCACTTGCGGTGAGGCTGCCCTGCATTTTTCACCTTTGGGCTATCATTCTGAGGAAGGAACATCAGCTCTGGAGGAGAGTCTTGGCCAAGTTCAAAGGGAAGGGCTTGGGGAATGGAAAGTCCTTTGAAACCTCGTTTAGATGGTGACTGCCTGACCCAGATTTTCCCCTTTCAAAAGCATGCTCAGAGCTCAAAGGCCCGGGTGTCAGGGAGACACGGGTGTGGCAGAGTCTGGGGAAAACACACCAACTGCCGCACAGCTGCAGCCTCGCTCGGAAAGACCTCAAGCCCCAGCGTCAGGCCCGACTGCACAGGGCAGCCTGGCTGGGGGCACTTCCTGTGGGGCCGCTGGGGCTGCCTCCAGAGGGTGAGGCCTGGGCCCACTGTGGTGGCCCCAGCTGGGTCTTCTCCAGGGGGCCAGCTCCTGCTAGACATGAGGCCGCGCTCCCTTTTCCCTGTTTCCTGGGTATCTTAGTTCCTCTGGCCTTGGATGCTGAGACCCAGGAGGTAATCCTGGGGAACACTGCCATGGAAGTGGGAAAGAGACAGGAAGACAGAAAAGGGTTACCAAGGGAGTTACTGCTGTGGGCATCCAGGGTTTAATTCCGCTGGGAAATAGCATAGAACAGGCCGCTCAGAGGTAGCCCACCCGGGCGCAAAGGAATCGGGGTACTTACACACCAACTGGCATTGGCGAGGATTCCATCATTCCGCGTGCTTCGGCAGAGCAGGCTGCAGTGCTGGCAGTGGGAGATTGGGCCGCCAGCTCTGAAGTGGTCAAGACTGAGGGACAATGGCCTGGCACCCAGGGTGGCCGCTCCACTGGGCTACATTTCCACACCTGGTCTATGCAGGCAGGTGCTTCCCAGGCTTGACACGTGGTACTCCCACCGTGATGGAGCTGGTGAAATGGGCCAATGCAAACTTTTGCATGTGCCCCCGATATATTGCAGACATCTCTGTGACAAGAAAAAGAGCCTCCTAACCTTTCTGCTTCTGGCAGGGCAGTGGGTTTGATGCTGAAAGGACAATGTCTGGTGGAGGCAGAAGTAGTGCCCCCTGGGGGGCAATTCCGGGGGAGAAGATTTTCCTGGAGAGGGGGGGTGCTCTTCCCTCTCCACATTGCATGGAGGAATTAGTTCCTCACGGTTTGTCCCCCTTTCCTCATAGGAAGGAAAGAAGGAGGAGGAAATGCCGAGACTGAGGTGTGAGGCTGCCAAGGGACTTTTCTTGGTTCCCTGTCTCCGGCCTGGGGTTGTCCCACTCTGAATGACCGGGGCGCCAGCTGGGAACCCACTGCCATTCCAAGCCTGAGTCTCACCCCAAACCCAGCCACTGGGATCCTTGCAGTTCCATGGGTGTCAAAGCATCATATCAAAGCAAACTTCAGCTTAGTTTTCACATTGCACCCGGGGCCTCCTTAATTCTCCCCCACCTGCTGTGGGCCCCACAGCTGCCAAACAGACTGCCAGCCCTGGTCTCTCCGCCCAACCCCATTCTTCTTCATTCGGCTTTGTGGTGCCTGGGCTGGGACTCCTCAGACTGCACCTTCCTTTGCCAGCAGCTGGTCCCTGGTAGGTTCTGCCAGTGGGGAAGCCAGAAGGAGACCAGAAGGCAGGAGGAGGAGGGCGCTGGGACGTGCTCCTTCCTGATTTTCTTCTTGTTTCGTCAACCTCACCCTAATGAAGGTGCTTATCCTGGCAGCGGAAGTCGGTCCCAGTTTCAGGCTTTTCTGGCACGCTTCTCGAGTCAGCCTCATTGTGCCCACTCAGATCACCGGCCAGGCGGCTCCCACCCTCAGAGGCCAGTGCCAGCTCCTCCGGCCACAGCCCCTCCTCCAAGCTTCTGGATTCTACCACCCCAGCTCTTCCCTTGTTCCTGCCCTGGGAGACAGCTGCTTTTGTAGTTATTCACTCTGTTTTCAGAGTGTCCTCCTCCCCCTATTTTTTTTTTTTTTTTTTTTGCCTTTTCAGTCATCCAATACCTGTTTAACCAATTCTCTAGATTAAATTCTCTCTGTTAAAATAACTGCTGGGTTTTCTGTTTTCCTGACCAGACACTGGCTGATACGGGCCCCATGGCTGCCAGGCAGACTGCACAAGGAAGCTGTAATTCACCATCTGGTTTTCATGCATCAAAAGCATAGGTGGCCGTCAGCTTCCCCAGTTACCACACTGTGTTGAGGTCATTCCAGCCCCAAGCAAAACTCCGAGACTTTGGTCAGCCTGTTGTAACCTGATCACGAACAGACTTATGGCTTCCTTCTGTCTGTAGAGGTAGTGAGCCTTCTTTGCAGGGTCCCTTTAGATCCCTGGGGTCGGGGCTGGGGGCTGGGGAAGACCATGATGGCAGCATTGCTCTGCCCTCAGATCTCCTGATGCTTGCAGAGCCCTCTGCCCCTCAGCTGGCTGTGACACCCCTTCTGGCTCCTGCCTTCCATGACTCCCTCCCAGATGCCACCTTCCCTCGGTGCCTCCCACTCTCCTCCTTGTCAGTCATCAGGGGATGGTCCCCTCAGTGTGGTGGATCTGAGTATGGAGGATCCCCACAGGGCCCAGGCTGGGAATGAGGAGGAGATTCCGGCGCATACAGCAGCTAGGGTTCAGCTTTCCCCCAGCTCTGTGGCAATGTCATCCACAGTCTTGGAGTGGAAAGAGAACTCAGAGATCAACTGATGGCGAAACCTAGACCAGAGAGGTTAGGCAGCTTGTTCAAGATCGTACAGCTTGTTAGAGGCAAATCCACGGCTAAGGCCACATTCTGTCTCTGGAAAGCTCCGAGCTCTTCCCATGAACCACACTAAGATTACTCAGCCTACCGTCTCTGCAGGCCAGCTGAGGCCAGCTGAGGCCAGCTGGTTTCTGCCCAGCATCCTTCTCTCCCAGACTTCCTGAGAAGTTAGCATTTTCTATCTAGTTCTCTGCTTGCCCTGATTTAGCCCTGAGTTTCCTCTGAACTTCCGTCTTGAGCCCTTTCTTGTTCTCTTCTGGTTCAGCTCCTCTGATTCTCTCCTGGTGCTAACTACCCTCTCCCACCTGCCCCTAAACCTCTCTTCCGGGGCCGGGGACTTTCATTTTCCCTTTGCCAGTGAACCCTTAGCAATTAGTCCTGGCGTTGGCTGATGTAAACAGAGGCTCATGCAGAGTATGACCCTGTCATCATAAGCAAGTTCCTGCCCCACTGCCCAAGGGCACTGATTTAGCTGTCCTTTGCTGAAACACTGTTTTTTCTCAAATTGCAGGCTTGCAGGTACCATTCTTCTGAGAGTTCTTGGGAAGATGAGGCGACACCCTTAAGAGTCCAGATGCAGTCCTTTTGTTGAACAGCCTGGGGTGCTCCCCAAGGCACTGTTTTCTGACAGCTTGTCAGAGCAGAAGAAAGGAAAGCCACCAGTTCCCTTTGAGGAATGATGCAGAGGCAGCTCTTAGAAGTCATGTCTAAAGCCCCTGCCTCCAGGCACAGCACAATAGAGCCTTTACTCGTGTTCTTGCTGTGAGGCTGTGTACCTTAGTTCAGGGCTCCCAAATCTGATGGAAATCCAAATTTCCAGGGAAGCTGTTTAAAAATAAGTTCCTGCCCCCCACCACTGAGCCAAGGGAGGGTGGTCTAAGGATCTTTATATTTTAAACACTCTCTAAATGATTCTGATGTTCAGCCAAGTTGAGAAGCACTGCCCAGACAGACAACAGAGGCTGCTGCAAGGCTGTTAGGATGTACTGGTGGGAAACGCAGATGCTGAGAAGGGTCCAAAAAGCATGGAGAATGGGGTTATGCAGTGAAGCCCTTTGAAGCTGAACATTTGTCCTAGGACAGGCTGTGTGGGGACAGAGTCTGGGCTCAGCTCTCTCTACATGTCAGTCCTTCTCAGTCAGGAGCGGCTCCTTTGGGGTCACGCTGCCTCTGATGCACAAACTGGGAAATTGAGAGGCCCAGTCGCTCTGACATCCTCTCCTGCAAGGGACACAGGATGGCTCTGGGACTGCGCATGCCTTTGGGAGCTTCTGTGCAAATACGATGTACGCAATATTTCCCCCTCTGGCTTCACATAGTGAAAGCTATTGAACGGCATCGGTAGGTCCCACTTGGCACTTCTCTTTCAATAAACTGGAATTGGGATTGAGAAAATGGAACCAGTCTGGTCCAGTATCTATTCTAAACTTACAAAGTGAATACTCATGAATGATGGAAGGCATATTCTCCTGAGTGGATGGAAGAACAGAGACAGCTGACCTCCAGATGGAGTACAGAGACACCAGAGAGGAGCAGAAACGGGGGATGGTGAAGGATCTTGTGAGCTCATCACTCCCAGTTTACAACCCTACCGAGAAGTGGTGCGCTCCAGCTCTTGGCTTCCATTAGACACCACCACGTCCTTGTAATGCAATCCCTATTTTTATTTTTTTTACGTAACCCATTTTCTGTTACTTGCAACCACTGAGTCCTAACTCATTCCTAACTGGGAAAGGGGTCACCAGTCCAGAGATCGGCAGGTTACTAGAGCAGCGGAGGTGCAGCACTGAAGCTAACATGCATAGTAACGTTGGTATTTGTCACTGAGCATCTTCTATACGCCAGACACAAGATAAGTGTTTTATATTCACCAACTTTAAAAATCTTTACAACAACCCTAAAAAGCAAATGTCATGATCTCATTTTATAGAAAAGGGAGCTGAGGCTCAAGGAGCAAAGTACTTCCCCAACTCACATAATGAGTGGTAGAACTGAGATTCAAATCCGTGTCTATCTGACTTGAAAATCTAGCCTCTTTCAACGATACCATGCTGCTTTTTCATGTGATGTAAGACCAAGGAGGATTCAGACTCTGGCAAGCTGTTCATGTTAGGTGTAGTTGGCATCTGGAGGGCAAAATCCAGGAAGGCAGAGGTGGCGGACCAGCTCAAGGCCTGAGGGCCCGCTAGGTCAGAGAGAGTTTCAAGAAGAGCTGTCCAGGACCCTGGAGAGCTCCCGAGGAGCCGCAAAGACCTCACCCTCCCGCTCAGCAGCTCAGCCCCATCCTGAACCTCCGGACTCTGAAGGCTGTCCACTGGCATACACACGGAGGGTTTACTCCCTGAGACCCTGGAGCTTATCCCGGGTCATCCCCCGCACTGCTCTCCCCCACCATCAGTTTTTCTCTGCATCAGCTTTTGGAAGAGAATGCTGACTTAGGGTGCCCATGTCTCCGTGTCCAAAGAGTTGAAAATAACTTAAACAATCTCTTTCCAGCCAGCCCACCTTTTCATAGATGAAGTGACGGCAATTGTGATCTGTTAATCATGCCAAGCCTCCTTTGGCAATGTGAAACCGAACTGGCTGCTTTGCATAATAAAAGGTTAAAATTACGAGCCGTACAGGGAATAAATAAAGCTTGATCACTCAGGCTCAAAATTTGTGACTGAACATCCTTGTGCTTGCTTGCCTTTCACATTCGCTCCATCGTCACGTGTCTGCCCCCGATCACGGCTGTTTATTTTTAATCCATGTTTCCCCAAAATTGATATTAATAATTTTCCTGCAGCTTCTCTGGCAGCACCCTGTGCATCGACCAAGAGTAGCAATATTTCTTTGACCGTATACATTTGGGGTTTTCTTTGACACCGTAAATGGATCTTCTGCTTGGTATTTAAGTTGGCTCTTTGTGGGAAGCGATGGCCGGTTCAGACTTCCTTAATAAGTTCTTCATGACTGCATTTGCAATGACGTTAATGAAATCATTTTGAATATCAGTGGGCAGATAATGAGCCCAGAGGCAGCGACCAGGGTGAAGGCCCAGATGGAGGGAGGGGTGGGACAAGTGAGGGGTCGAGGGAGCAAAGCTGTCTTTCTGGCTCCTAAAGGAAGATGAAAATAAATTTAAAGCCCCCAGGGTCTGACTTGTCTCTTTTGCTCCCATTTGGAGAGATTTTGGTGGGGAGTACCCAGGAGCTTGACAGTTCTGTCCCCAGCCTGTGGGGGAGAATGACACCCATGAGTCTGCTCTCCCAGCCCTGCCCTCTCATCTCTCTCTCTGGAGGAGAAGTTAGCCAGGATTTTCCTTTCCCAGCTTAGAGGGAGATCCTAGAAGGAGGGTCTCAATGCGTTTTGATCACATTTGGCTTTGTGCCCTATTTATTGCTCTCCCTACAGACCCCGTGGTGGCCTGCCACCCCCTCACGCCCGTGGGCAGCTCCTGGCCTCCTGCTCCACTCCTGTTCCAAGCACATGTTGGCTCCTATCTATGCCCTGGGGCCTCTGGCCATTTCCTCGTGCTGGGGAGGATAGAGGAGGCACTTAGGGCCTAGCACAGGGCCCCATCAATCTGCTCTCTGAGTTGATGGGTTGCCATAGGTTGTCCATCTCAGGCCGAGCCAACTGTTCAGGGGATGGAAGGAGAAAATCAAAAGTCTTGAGGGCACCATCTTGGAAGGATGGGAGATAAGAGGCAGAGCAGCGCCAGCAGCCCAGCTGGACACGCCATTGTGCGGGTGACGTGTCCTGCAACCATGGAGGCCCCGTCCATGCCATAGACATTACACGTTTGTAAATGGATGATGACAGTTTCCTGGAAATCAGGTATCTTGTACTAACAAAATCAGTATGTTGCAACAATTGGAGTAGAATGGGTTGTGGAAGGGGAACCTTTTCTGCTTTGCACAAAGATGCTGTATAGGCTGGACTGGCCTTCTATGTGGAAACCCCATAAATTTTGAGGGACATTCTGCACCACACCTATAGTAAATGTTCTTCTATCAGTTATGCCTGGGCCTGGGAACATGGGACTAACCTGATTGCCAAACCTTCAATTCAGTGTAGGAAGAGGGGAAGCTGTAGACTGGGCTGCTCACTTGAAGGTCCATCCTCAGCTGATCATCTGTAGACTGTGGTGGCTCTGAAGCCCATGGACCATAACCTCCCAGGGGCATTGAGATGCAGGCATGAAAATGATACACACGTGCTTCGAAATATGAGATCTGGTGTTGTTTAAAAATCCTGACCCCATATTATACACAGGGCCAAAGCCAGGACCAGTTCACTCCTGACCCCTGCAAGTAGCAGTTCCATTTCATTCTTCTAGACATTCCAGAGATGCTGGAATAACAGTCTGCTCTTCAGAAGAGCCATTCAATAGCTGTGGGCCTGCCTGGCCCCTCTGGCTCTTCCTGGAAGAAAGCAAACAGGAAGATGATGCTGGCAGTAAACAGCGGGGAACCAGGGGCCAACCACGGGGCTGGGGAGAGGTGCTGGCCCAGCCAGGTGTGGAGCTGTTACTCTGGGCAACAGACGAACTGGCTGAACAGCCCAGGCAGCGAGCCCCCACAGGGAGGTCACTGCGAGGCCAGGAGCTATGGCTTCACCTCACTGCGGACTCAGAGTGACTGAGCTGGAATGGAGAGGTTGGAAGAGAGGGTCTCTGAGGTCCTTCCAACTCTAATAGGTGTGGTTCTGGGCAGCTCACTTCCTGACATGGCCTGTTGGTGTCAGGTAAGGGGACGGCTCACATGTGGGTTGGCCTCCACCTTGGCCCTGTCCCTGGAGCCTGGAGCTTTCAGGCCACCCCCAGGCAGTTTGGTTGGAAGAAAATACATTCCTCTCCCATCCGGAGGCGGGCATGCCTCAGCCCTGCTCGGTGGCCCCAGCTCCCAGACAGCTGGTCTCCCAGCTGGAGCACAAAAAGGTGCCAGAACAGCAGAACCACTCATGCGATTGATTTTAGAGAAAGCCTTGGAGGTTATGTGCTTTTTCCCCTGGAGAAGCTGTTCCCTGCAGCCAAACATCTCAGATCAGGGGAGTACAAAGCTGACAAATATAGATTTTAGCCAGAGTGGCAGAACTGGGAGGAGGGGCTCAGACGCTCTCCTTCCTGAAAAGTCAGCATAGGCCAAGTGTTCCACCCTGGGGAGGGGACAACCGGCTCCTGGGGCGATTGCTGCCTGCCATCTCCCCTCTCCTGAACCTCTGTGTGACTGTACCTGCACCAGTGTCCTCACTCAGGGAGAGACAGCAGGGAGAAGAAGCTCATGTCAGGAGAAAGGCTTCTATCATTATTTAAAGGAATGCGAGCTGGGTTTTCAAGCAAATCACACCTGGCCAGGAATAATAATAGTAATCGTGGTAATGACAGCAATAGTAGCTGACGTTTGCTGCGTGCTGGCTTTATGCTGGGGACTTTTAAATCTATTGTTTCATTAAATTCTCATAGCAAGGTATAAGAGAGTTATTATTAGCTCTATTTCCCAGAAAACAAACTGAAGCACAAAGAGAGTGAGTTACTTGCCTGGAGCCACGCAGCTGGTCTGTAGCAATGCCAGGATTCAAACTCAGGCCTGTCCCACCAAAAAGCCACGTGCTCAGCCACAGGGCCCGGTGGGGAGTAGAGCTGCCTATGAGGCTTGTGGATCCCGGGCTGCAGGGATGAAAAGCTGACAAGCCAGGTGACCTGGGGAGGAGGACACAGTGATAGACAGGTGTTGGTGGCTCAGACAGATGTCAACACTGGAGAGGATGTCTTACAGGAAATCACTGGGGGTCTGGGCCTGGCAGATGGGTTTTTGCTACTCAGAGTCCAGGGAGTTGGGGGCAGCCTGGGCGGGCGGTCCATGTTTGGGAGTCCAGCAGGAGAACAAAGCAGGTGAACCAGCCAGCAGGCGTCCGCCCTGGGGAGGTTCTTCTGAAGCCTCTCAGGGGTTCTTCTGAAGCCTCCAGCAGGTTCTACAAACTTAGACCCCAGGTCTGCCCAGTCAGCCCCTCTGGGGAGGGGATTCAGGAGTTGGTTTTGCATAAGCTCCTTGGGTGATTCTGACTCAGATGCTCCGGGGACGAGACTTGGAGAAACTCTAGCCCAGGAGAAGTGAGGAGAGCAGGGCAGGCCCAAATCTCAGAGAAAAGTGTCTGCAGGGCAAAGAGTCAAGGCTGGAGCTTGAGCACCAGGACATGAGATGGGGGCCAGCCACCCGGCCAGAGGCGCCTGGCCTCCAGGAGGACCCTCTAGTCTGGTGAGTGAGGTCCTCAGATCCCTCCACATGGGCTGACGGGACAAAAGTTAGGATTTGCCTTGAAGTGATGGGTATGGGAGGGATCTTGTCATTACTTCACTTGAAAACTTGTAGGGGCTTCCTACACCTGTGAAATAAACCCAAACTCCCTCCATAGCTGTCATGACTCTGTGTGATCCAGTGATCCAGCCCTTGGCTAGCTCTCGGGCTGCATCCCTCCGGCCTCCTTGTCCTCACACTCTGCCCACCTTGCTCTTCTCTCAGTCCCCCTCGAGAATACCCTCCTCCTCACCTCTGAGCCTCTGAACACACTGATCCTTCTGCCCTGAGGAGCTTCCTCTCATTTGTGACAGTCTCCTCCTTTTCTCTCCAGTCCTGAACATGGGGCCCCTCCTCAGGAAGGCTTCAGATGCCCTGCCTGAGATGGACACCCTCACTCCTACCCCACAGTTATTTTTCATCTCCTTCTTTGTTGCTTTCTCTCATGGCTCTCTCCAATATGTGTGATGACCACGCCGCCACCCACTCCCAAAGGACAATCAGCTCCATAAGGTTGGGGGGACGTGTTGCCTTGTTTACCTGTATATCCCCAGAATCTACCACTTTGTTTGCACCTGATTAGTATTTGGTGGAGGATGTGGGGAATTTAGGGTTCAAGAAATATCTCTCTGGGGGCTGCCCTGGTGGCGTAACGGTTAAGTTCGCATGCTCTGCTTCGGCAGCCCAGGGTTCACTGGGTCAGATCCCACGCACGGACCTGTGCACCACTCATCAAGCCATGCTGTGGCAGGCATCCCACATATAAAATAGAGGAAGATGGGCACGTATGTTGGCTCATGGCCAATCTTTCTCAAAAAAAAAAAAAAACCCCTCTCTGGAAACTTTCTGAAATGTTTTAACACTAATTTAATCTTCAGTCATGGAGATATAGGGAAAATTCACATCACCTTCTGGTTTTATTGTCCAGGTCTGAAAGAGATGAGGTGGGGAAAGGGTGTATGTTCTCACTGGTGCATAAAAAGGTAGAATAAACAAATACAACACCCACTGACGTTGACTCTTCCTCAACTCTTTGTTTGAAATGCCACCTCCCTCAGGAAGCCCTTCCTGATCACCACCTGCCTTAGCCAATCACACGTGACTGCTCCCACCCCTGTATTTTTGCTTTGTCTTCTCCGGTGCTTATCACATTCTGCCTGGCTCGTGCTATGGTTGTGTGTGCATACCTTATGTGTTGTGTGCGAATGTCTGAATTCATCAGAATGCTTTTCATTGCAAACGACAGAAACTCAGTGCAAACTAGCTTAACCCATGAGGAACTTTTTGACTAATATAACTAGGAATAAAGAGGTGGTGCTGGCATTGGACAAGGCTTAATGGATCCAGGGCAACAATGATAAGAGCTCATGT